GCCTTATCAATTCAATTTTTCAATTTTTAAGATGATAGCCAAGAAACTCTACTTTTCTTGGGAAAAAAACAACAATCACAACATTGTACATCAAGAAACACTAAATTCTATTATCATGCCCAACAAAAAATTGAAAATTTGAGTTGGAAAAGATAAAATAGATCTCAGTTTTTGAAAAATTCCAACAAGCTTTCAGCATTATTAGGAGATATTATAGTAACAAAAAGATCCATCATTGATCACAATCACCCTTCATCAAGTTAATTACAAAGTTTTCTTTTCTACCTCAAAATTGTGATGATTGAGGAATCATTTTTGTGCCAAGAAATCAAAGAACAATGATTCTTGATTTGTCAACATATAATTTGATGCCAACTTGAAATTTGTAGATCCAAGAAAAGTGCATTCTTCCAACATCTCTTAAGGTACCAATTTTATTTCTTTATTTAATTATTATTATTATTACTTGCTTTAATGCACATTTGATAATATTTCCATATATTTCATATTTCATATTTCATATTTCATATTTCATAATTTGATATTAGTGTGATGAGCATTTAGAACACCTTTGTAAAAGAAAAAAAAGGTGATTATTTATTTCAAATTTTGTTCTTTCTTCTTTTCTTAGATAATCTTTGAAAAGTGGGGATAAAAAGTAAATGATTTATAGAAAGATAGTGATGTTGATTATTGAAGCATGGAGACCCTTATACCTAAACTTTATGGTCAATGTTGGGATCAATCTCACATATAAAGATGGAGAATCAATATATAGATTCTTATTCTTTTGAATCCCTTTGAAGAAAAGAAAATAGTCTTTAAATTTTAAAGCAATTTACCAAATTGAGGAGTCATTTTTGTCCTTGTTTAGTGGAAATTAAAGTTGTTGTGACTATGAACTTCTTTATGAAGATATCTTGATAAATCCTTCACAATTATTTCATGAAAAATCTTAGTATGAGAAATTATTTTCTGCCCTAAAAGCCTTTCCATTACATATTTCATCTATGTTGTTTTGCTTTCTATAATTGCTTCCACCATTATAGATTTAATTATTTTGAAAATTAAGTTTTTTCTAAATTTGTATATTGTATGTGGATTTTGATAATAGTTTTTGTATTTTCAAAAAGATTAATTCTTTCACGAAAGATGTGTTAGATAATTTTGTTTTTTTGTTGATGATATAATTTGGACTGTGTTTATTTTTCTTATATTTTAAAAACACCTTTAGCTTAATGATTAAAAAAAAAGTACAAGCAATAGAACCAGTTGCATAGTGTTTGTTATTGATGACATTATAATTTGGTATCAAAAAAGGAAAAGATATAAAGATAGAAAACTATATCACATACGTGTAGTGTAATGCATAAGTGAAAATGGCGTGAAAGTAATGAAAACCTAAATTAGTGATATGAATTGGGATATTTACAAGAGTATGTTATTTTATATATCAACTAAAGTAATTACTTGTGATGGAAGCCACCTTTATGAATGTGAGAATTTATTTATTTATTTTATTTTTTTGAGCATTTGTGAATGTAAGTTAAAATTGGCTTAATTAGGAAAATAACTTGTTTGTTCTCTTTCCCAAATTTGAAAAAAAAGAATATAAAGGTAAATGGATAAACAAATTAAACAAAATAGGGTTATCTTCTGTCATACAAGTAATTTACTTTTTGATCAATTAAACACATTTTTATATATAAATGTTTTTTTAGTTAAAAATTTGTTTGTTCTTTATAGTGTGTGGTAATTCACATTATATACATTTAAGAATAACTTTAATTATAAAATGTCTCTTGTGTAAAGAGAGACTGTTTGCCACATAATACTTTATAATTTTAAATTTTAGTTGTTAGATTAATAACTTAAAAAAACTAATCAATAAATCTAAAGAATAAAGTTCTCATTTCATTCTCATGCCTTATATTAGATATAAAAAAATTGTATATGTTGTATAATCAAGCTAGGGTTGGTGGATGAATAGTTAGGTTGACCTAATCCATGTGAATATAACACTTGCCAATTAACATTTTCATAATATTTTGTTTATATGGATATAGTTTGTCACTCCACTATGTTATAATTAAGCAAAGTGGTTTACATCTCATTGAAGCACCAACCTTAAAAAGAAGTAGTACACAAAGAAAGAGTGATCATTTGCAAAATAAAGTTATATTTTTTCATATATATATACTTATGATCATATACTCCTAATGTTTATTTATTCTCCCACATACTCATTTTCTAAGTATGTGTTCATGTTGTGTTTGCTTGTGGAAATTGTGTGTACGTGTGTGACATGCTTGCCTCAAGGTTAACATGCATGTTCTTGTTCCTTGTAGATATAACGAATAAATAAAATATAATTTTAAAATTAATATATCAAATTTAATCAATAAAAAATTATAATAATTTCTACTTATAAAATGGAGAAAGGAAATAAAAAAAATATTTGGAATAATATATTTCAATGAGTTAAATTCATCTACAAATTTGCTTTGTACTAATTACAATGTTTTTGTCAATATTATATCTCAATTAACTTTTTTGAGTAGATAAATATATATTATTTAAATAGATAAATATAACATGTATAATTTATTAAAAAAATATTTTTTGGGGATGGAAAATTAAAAATTATTTATATAAATTTTGTTGAGAAATTATATATTTAAATACATTTTAAATTCTTATATTTAAAAAAAATTTGACCTCTCTATTTTAGAAATTAATTTTTTAATTTTTTTTACTTAATAAAATATCTTAATAGTATTTTACTAAATAAAATTTCTTAAAAGCAAATCATTTTAATTACCATCGAAGGTTTTAGAATAGATGAAGTAGAGGATTTGATCACAAAGTAGTGTGAGTGGTCAACTAAAAAACTATTTAAAAAAGACCATATTAAAAGTTGGATTAGAAAGACAATTTTTTAGTAAACAAAGAAGATCAAAAGCCAAAACATGATTAGAAAGACAATTTACTTGTGATAAAAAACAAAACATAAAGTTGATAATGGACACTACGATAGCACAAAGGTTGCAACACTGAATCTTAATTTATTTTTTTATAGCTTGACTAAGATGGTACATGCATTTTAATGTCCTTTAAAATTTGATAAATAGTGTTTCCCTAAATTAAAATATTTTAAGATTATTAAAAGATGTCTTAAAAAAATAAAGTGAAAAGTTATAATGAAGTCATAATTATTAAATTAAAAAAAAAAAACTAGTATGAAAAGTATATACTAAATAGAGAAACTATAATATAATCTAGTTACGTGGAGCCAAGTCATAAATAATCTTATTTGATTTTTGGATAAAGTTTATGAGAAGAAATAAAAATTCATGATTAATTACCACTTGACCAATTAAAATTAACAAGTTACATAAATTTTATTTTTATAAGCGAAGATACTATAAATAAGAATTAATGTGGTAGGAACAAATCACTTAATGTTATTTTTTATATTGTTTTTGCGAAAGTGTTAGGTGTTGTATTATTATTAGGGTTAACTATAAAAGATTTTTCTAAAGAGTCTTATATCATTTATAAATGATATATGATTTCCGACCTACACTCGAAAAAATTGTAATATAACTGTCAATTAAGATTTTTTATATAAATTTTGACAAAATTTCTATAATTATTATGAATTTACACATGTGATTAAACATTGTCAACAACAAAAATTGTGAGAGTGTATAAAAAAAATCTCTAACTTATAAAATGTGTATTTAAATTAATATACTTTACTTATATCAACTTACGGTGCGCTGAGTTCTATTAATTTAAATCTGATTCATCTTATTCTTGATTTAGAAAATTTATTTTGAATATTTTTTTTGAAATTTTAGATATATATGAAATTATTGTAAAATTGTAATATATTTCAAAAAAATTCTATATATTATGTCTCTAATTTTAAATGAGAAATATAAAAATCTATTTTCCTTAAAAAAAATCTATTATATTATTCTTTATTTGTGATAGTACTTGATATGGTCAAAAAGTTTTGATAATATAATATCTTTTACTTGATTTAGTGTAACCTCCCTTATCAACTAGCCCTTTTTTTCTATCTATAATGAAACTATTATTTTTATTTGTATGATATATTGTGACTATTTTCATAAGAATATACGTTATTCTTCCTACTTAATTTCTAGATTATATTTTTCACGTTTTAAGAGTATTTTGTTTTTTCTATTACTTTTATTAATTGATAGAAAATTTGATATCTTTTAGTATAATTTGTGCATATCAAACAGATAAATCTTTAAAGACAGATTCTTGTAAAATCTAAGGTATTTATTATTTTATGATTTCGTGATTTTGCTAATTATCAATATTCATAGTTTATTTTGTGGTTAAGAATATAAATCATTAAATTTAAATAATTTCGATTATTAACTTAGATCAAACGGTCGAGATCAATAAATGAATAGTCAAACGGTCTGAGATCCATAACCGTAATAAACACAATTTCCACAACATCATCAAGTAGAACAATTCATAGTAATGAACATGTGTCAAACATGTGAGGCACATCTTTAGAGAGTAGAGAGTTTGTTTCACAGAATCAACCTGATGTAATTATATATCATTTCTTATCCAACTGAAATGCATTTGCAACTTTTTTTGTCATGCTTTTTGGTATGCCATTAACAAAGTGAATGTCTAGTGTCCCATTAAGGTGCTAGAGACAAATAAATATTGCTATATATGTACTATACAATCTCCAATGTCATTTAAAGCCTAAACTTAAGGTCTCATAATTGAAACTGAATTGGTATCTTCACAATAATTTAGTGAATATACCAATATAGTAGTGATTTTAAAAGACCAAAACATGGTTCATGAGGAATCACAAACAATTATGTTTTTTATTTTGTCTTAGCTTTTGGTTTATCTAGTAAAGTTCATAGTGCAGATTTGGATATTGGTTGCTGCATTTTTCTAGAGGCGTTTGGTTTCTACTTGTTTTTCTTATTATGGCGGGTAGACACAAACAGAAGAGGCTCGGCAATTCATGCATTCTCCTCATAGGTAAATTCTATGTGTACATTTATGTAAATATGTGTTTATCTTTTTTTTTTTAAGGAATGAAATTCAATTATCAAAAAGAGTACAGCACAAGAGGTACTCACCCATCAATCAATACAATATCAATAGTTTAAGAAATCAATCGGCCGGTGACTTCATAAGTCAAATTAAATTGGATATCATTCCTCATGCTCCATAACGTCCACCCTGTGGCTAACCAAACCAACATTTTCTTATTCTCTTTAATCGTCCCACCCAACACCCTACAAAATGCCAACATATGCTCCACCACCCCTGATGAATCTACCAAAGTCACACCAAGCCATGTTGCTATAACATTCCAAACCATTCTTGAAAGAAAATATTGCACCAACAAATGATCAAGAGATTCATTATGTAACTGACAAAACATGCATACCTTTTCGCTATCGTCAAATAAGATTCCTCTATTGGTCAACTTGATCCTTGGTTGCTATTATATTTTTTATGCACCTCCACACATAAATCAATATTTTTGACGACACCCTAGTTTTCCATAATACATCTATAGCTTTCGAAGTTTCCTCGTTTTGGGCCTGAGCGGATCTTCTGCTAATAAACTCCAAGTACCCCCAAACTTATAGAATACAAGCCATTGTCATCTTTAAACCATTTATATTTATCTTCATCACCCCTCTCCGGACAGATCCCACGTAAGATCACCTCTAAATCTTGCAATTGTTCAGCTACTAACGTTGGAGTCCACCTTTGATTTGTGCCCAGTTTCCATACCCAGTTATTACTTTCAAATGCTCCCATTTGCATAATTGTTGCGCCTTGATTGTTCGACCAGTCAAACGCATCCGAAAAGACTTCCTTGAACGGGATACCGCCAAGCCAATTGTTATGCCCAAACTTTACTGACTGTCCCGAACCTAGAATGGACGCAACACCATTCAAAAACCAATTTGTCGTCTCACATTCAGAACTACAAGCAATTATATCGCATCACCAAAACGAGGATTTCTTTATCGATTCTTCTGTAATTCTCTCAAGGACAGCTCCCTCCAAACAACCATACCTATACTCTAAAAACGGTCTCGACAATGCCTCTTTATCCACCAAAAAACGCCACCTCCATTTACTTAACAAAGAGTTGTTGAAGGCTTCCTTATCTTTATAGTTGCATTTTCAAGTTTAAGGGATGAATTGTATTTAAGATTGAGCACAATGATTGTCATATTAAAGCATATTCTTAGACGAGAGATATCTTAGTTTCAGTGTTAAGAGCATGAATAGAAAACCAAAATACTCCATTCCATTGAATATATGTAATTGCAAATGAAAAATATATGAAACTAGTCTTTAATATGGTTTCTTTCCACTTCATGATCTCGGCTGCATTATTATGGTTTTTGATTTCTCTGCAATGCATCAGCGGATTGTTTGAAATCATGATTGTTTGTTACTGAATTCAACAAGAAGTAAAATCTTGCATTGAGGCTATTGCCTAAATGCAAGATGCTACAGTTGAATTCAAGTTGCAGACAATTGTGATTCCTATTGAACTTTTATGAGTCTCATTACACCGCGATTCTCCTCAATATCTTGAATCACGGCACAACGTCGTTAAAACCCTAGTTCTCACTCGTAACGAGTGTTTTGATGTTATAATTCAATCAATATTCCATTGTTCTTGCACGCGCTTGTAATTTTGTATTTTATTATATCAATGTTAGGGTAAATACTTATATTTGACTTGTTTTTGGTGCTACTTTACAGTCATTGCAGGTATAGAGAGGTTTGCATTCAAAGGAGTAGCATCAAACCTGGTAACTTATCTCACTGATGTTGTGAACTTAAGCAATTCATCAGCAGCAAAAATGGTTAATAGTTGGGTTGGATTCACTTCCATAATGCCATTATTAGTGGCACCTATTGCTGATGCTTATTGGGACAAATATTCCACCATTATGTCTTCATCTTTTCTCTATGTTATGGTGAGTCACCTTCCAGAAATATTATATACTTTTAAAAAAGTTCAGATGTCAAAATTGATTTCAAACTTATACTGATTTTATTTTTCATAATATAATTGTTATAAAGTTTGGCTCAAACTTTATCTGCAATGAAAACTATACATGGCTGAAAATTGAGTTGGCCTACTTTATATATAGTATAGTATAAGCATTAAGATTTGTTGGAGTCTGAGTCATAACACTCATATTGATGTTTTGGAAAAGTTGAGATTTCACTACTCAATCAGTGAAAGTTTTACTCCTTTTCCAAGTTATGTTCTACATTTCATCAGAATATCCAAATTTTGATTGGAAAAATGTTTACCATAACAATGTTTACCATAACTTTTCATTTGAGCACTATTCAAATTCTTGAAGAAAGATATTCTATTAGTTTGTGGCAAGATTCTTTTCTTCCAAAATTTAGTACGTGTTAGAATCGAACCTGCTTGTCATGTTCAGTATTAGAGTGTCTGAAATGAGTCGCTGACTAACACTTAAAAATTCACGTACAATCACTTATATTTTCTAAAACTATAGTACCATTATCTACATAGTAAGGTCAGTGTCGTGTTTGTATCTGACTAAATATTTTAGTTTAGAATACCATTAATGTAATACAAGGCAATGATGCTTTATATGCATCTCTAAATGCGTGTTTGATATCACAGAGTCAAACAATTTCACAAATGTTTATACAAATCGATAAACTCAAATAAGTCGGCTCAAAAAACTCTTACTAATAATTTGAAAGTTCAACTTTTTTGACAAAGTTAATGATATTTTCTTGTGTTTTCTTCATAGGGACTTGCAGCATTGACAACAACAGCACTAGCAAGGTCATGGCATCACAAAAACAGAACAATGTCTTCTTCATTTCTTTCATTATCTCTCTATTTAATTTCATTAGGCCAAGGTGGATATAATCCATCTCTACAAGCCTTTGGAGCTGATCAACTTGGTGAAGAAGAAGATTTACCTTGTGGCAATGATGACACAAGTTGCAACAAAAAAGCACTTTTCTTCCAATGGTGGTATTTTGGTGTCTGTGCTGGAAGCCTAATGGGTGTTACATTCATGTCTTACATTCAAGACACTTTTGGTTGGGTATTAGGGTTTGCAATACCTGCAATTTCAATGCTTCTTTCTATCTTGATTTTCTCTGGCGGAAGCTCGATATATTCATATAAAAAACACGATGACGATGATGATAATCTTCAAGATAAGAAGCCTTTCATGAACATGTTTCAAACTATAAAAGCATCTGCATTGAAATGCTTCCATTGTGAGATTTCACTACCAAATGACAAGTCTGAAGGTGTTGAGCTCGAGTAAGTTTCGCTTTCACAAACATAAAAGTTACATTTACGAAATTACTATCTATATTTATGGGCAAAATATTTTTTTTCTTCTCATGATACAGGCTTCAAGAGAGACCTCTTTGTCGCGAAAACTCGGAAAGCATTAAGGTTACGAATAAGGATTCAAAAATCAGCATGTGTCTACTACCAAATGTCAAAGTTGTAATTAAGCTATTGCCAATATGGGCAATGCTTCTCATGTTTGCAGTGATTTTCCAACAACCTGCAACATTTTTCACAAAACAAGGCATGACAATGAAGAGAAACATCGGTAAGAATTTCAAGATACCACCAGCAACACTCCAGAGTGCTATAACATTGTCGATAATACTGTTGATGCCGTTATACGACAGAGTATTTATACCGTTTGCTCAGCTGATAACACGACAGGAAAAAGGTATAAACATGATGCAGAGGATGGGAATCGGAATGGTTCTCTCTATCATAGCAATGGTTATTGCAGCTTTAGTTGAAATGAAACGGCTTGATATCGGCCGGGAAATGAGAAGTGAAGGGTTACAATCAGAAATAGTGCCGATAAGCATTTTCTGGTTGTTACCACAGTACATTCTTCTCGGTGTTTCAGATATTTTCACAGTTGTTGGTATGCAGGAATTCTTTTATGGTGAAGTTCCAAAGAATATGAGAACAGTGGGAATTGCATTGTATACTAGTGTTTTCGGAGTTGGAAGCTTTGTGAGTGCATTGTTGATTACACTAGTTGAAGTATACACAGATTCTAAAGGAACACCAAGTTGGTTTTCTGATGATATGGTTGAAGCACGTTTGGATAATTACTATTGGCTTCTAGTTTGGTTAAGCTCAATTAGCTTGTTGTTGTATACACTATTGTGTAAATATTACTATAGTAAAAGTGATTCAGATTGTGAAACGTGAGTTTTTTTCTTTCTGAGATGCTTTTCAAGTGTAATTTTGTGTAAACTTTGTTGAACTAGTTGTTGCTCTTATATTAATATAACAGTAATTCTATGATTCTTTTTGTTAGAAGGTAAACTGAAAAAGAAAAAAAAATATCAACCTAACAAGACATTTTTGGTATAAAATATAACATTTAACATATTATTATGTACAATTTTACCTTTTAAATTTGGATTTATAAACAGAGGTTTTACACTGTGAATTAAACATAACCATCAGATCATTAGAAATGTTCGACTTTTATCATAAACACATCTAAAATAACACACATAATAGCTATGATTTAGAGAACCATTCCAAAATCTTCTGCATAATGCAGACGGTTTCTGATATAAAACCAAGGGATACAATGTAAAAACTGCGACACAATCATGAATCTCCAAAGTAACAAAATGATAAATCACACAACAAAACTTTACATTATTTTCAAGTGAATCGCCAACATAGTCCTGAAATTGTAGATGTTGGAAATTTTAGCCCTTGAAATAGACAAAATTCTAAAATGATCCTTGTAAACGAAAATCCTTGATCACACTAGTAATTTTGGGTCGGACAATTTAGTTCCCTTGAAATTGATTCTTTAAGAGTTATTGTGATCGATGATTTTCGATTTTTTAGAAAACATTTTAGAACTTTGTTAATTTCAAGGATCGAAATTTTCAAATCTTATAACTTCAACGACTAAACTGATGACTCGCTATGTTAATTTCATACCATAAGATTAAGGGGTGGCTACATCAGGTTGGTGGATACAATTGATATCTACAAAATGATTTGAATTTTTTATTAGTAGGAATTAAATTCGGTAGTTTGCAATTTACAACACTCACACACACTGTGCACCAACAATAATAAGATTGAGCTGATTCACATGAGAGAAGAGGCCATGTTCTACATGAAACCCTAATCTCTTTATTCCTTGAAGAAAAAAACCACACGAAACAAAGTATAGCAGCCTTTTTGTGAAGAGAAATAAACTCACGCACATGATGACACACAAGAGCATGATGATTGATTAGGTGTGACTAGTATATGGAGCAACACATCTTGCCCATTTGAACAATTTCAAGTGATGCATCTTCTTGATTTTGTTTGGAGAATTGCCACCAAACTCTGATAATGATTCATTTCCGTTCAACATCTCCCACATCACATGAATATCCTCATATTCACAAGCCCTCACATCATTTTTTAGCTTCTTCAGCCCTGCACATTTCTTCTAATGTCAGTAACTCATTGTTTCAAACACAAAGGGAGCATTATAAGTTAAAACACAACAAACAAAACATTCAATTATAATTAAGTCTAATATTACATAAACCCTTTTCTCCACACAATTAAAACCATATAACTAAATTAAAAAGCTTGATCAAATCATGATCATATATAATATTCATCTTAGAATGTGTGGGTTGGGTCAACTGTACAAAACCGGCTCGTAAGTTGAGGGTTGCCCAAACTTATAACACTACAAATCATATCTCTAAGCAATGTGGGTGGGACTAAATCCACCCCCTTCAAACCTAACACCCACCAGTGTTGTCAATAGCGGATGGCGGTCCAAGGCGGAGGGCCAAAATTCCACCTTAGTGACCGCTTTGCAGCACCGCTATAGGGGATTATGGCAGAAAAATCCACAATATCGGCCAATATTTACCATTGTGGAGAGCCAAAAAAACCGTCATGTATATCCACCATGGCTGATAACACGGACACCCAAAGTAAAGGTGTTAGAGGTTGCAATGAAGGCAAGCCAAATGCCGCAATTAAGCGACTGGAGGCGGACTGCAATGAAAGTGGAATGTCCAACAATTCAAAATCAAGACTATAACGCAGTATCAATAATTGAAATTATTCATAAAAACTCAAGTTCTTAATTTGCTAAAATAATGGGTAAGCATAGTTTATACTTTATATAACTTAGACACCCTTCACCTTACAAAGATAATTATAAAATCTTATTAAACTTATAAAACATAAAACAAAACAAAACAAAACAAAAATGCAGTTTTCCTTCCATAGTTTTTCACCAGTCTCTGTTTCTTCTTCCACAAAAACAAATTCACTACCATATCTCATTCAAAACCTAGCAGCATTTGTTTCATGGTTGAGAATTTCATTCCTAGGAATAACTTTCTAGAAAATAACAATGAGCATTTGGTTCCCAGATATTTTATCCCCGTTTTCATGTGAATCTTTTTACCAAACCATTTCCTTGGGAAAAATCATGGGTAAGTACCTATGTAGCACCGACACCTCTAAAATAAGGCGTGTCCGTGTCCGTGTCGATGTCAGACACCTGCACCGACACTTGTGTTTACGTTCCATTTAGTCATTTTTTTAAATTATTACCGGTGTCGCTGTGTCAGTGTCGGAGTCGTGTTTGGAGTGTTCGTGCTTAATAGGTAAGTACGAATCTATAATTCATAAGGGAATAATTTTCTCAACAATGAAACAAACACATTCCCTAAACTATAATTAATCACATCTAAAATCATTAAGTCTCAACCACAATTCAATAAAATTGATAAAACATTTACAATCCAACAATTTAAAAAAAACCAAACATATAAGCATCACATAGAAGCCCTTTTGAAAACTTCAAATTTGAAATCAATCAGAAACACAAAGAACCATCTACATAAAAATTAACGAACAATTGCACTTTTGTCCAAATTAAGCAATAACATGTTTATATCACTATCAACCTTAACAAAATTGCAATACAACCCAACATGTCATTGAAACAATAAAACAAACACATGGTATGCATAATTGAAAACTCCGCAAAAATTCTAACCAGTTTTACGAATTCCAAAACGTGTGGCGATGGAAATCCAAAGACTTCGAACAGGATAGATGATGTTCTTCTGCCACCACTCTACCTGCCGAGAAAATTTGAGTTTCTCCATTGATACAGCGTCGGTAGGTGAAGATGAAGATACACACTCTCACCACGACTTCACAATACCGATGATATATTCAACACAACCGCAACAATTGCTAAAAATAAACAAACTGTATTAAAGAAAAACGCATAATTTAACACGCCTAATGTATTAAATATTTATACAATTAAATATATTATGCAGTGTTTTAAAAATTGATCGAACAGCCAAGTCAGACCGGGCTAATTGATAATTGAAAGTTCATTGATCTGATCTGATTGTTAGATCGGATATTTTATTGAATCAATAGAAACCGGTCAAAATTAATTAAAACAGATAACCATATGTGAATTGGTGGTTTTGAAAAATTGATGGGTTAAATGTATTTTCTTTCGGATTGTTTAGATAATATTTTAAAATAATATAATTAAATTTTATTTAAAACTTATTTAAAATAATTTTTTTTTTTGCAATTAGACATGGTGCAAAAAAATTTAAATTTGTATTTTGTATTTTATCGTACCTAACCAAAAGGGACTGTCAAAGCCTTCGAGCTTTTTGTCGAGCAACGGTTTGATATGAAGTGGTGGATACCTGCAAGACACTCTGATGCTAAAGTAAGATTCAGAGAAAATGCTAGCAAGTATGAGAGTATGTGAGTTAAAGAATCAATACCTAACTCTCTCAAGTGAGAAAATATTTATAGCCCCCAACGCTGGGCCAAGATCTCCATTGTTAGGTTGGGCAAGTAGACCCAAAATGGAGATTGTCAGGTCCTACGTGCGTGGTAGGGGCCAACATGTGGTCCTCAACCTGGATGGACACCTCCGAACTATCAGGAAGATATGGATGCGGTCTTTTCGGGACCAATAGGACTTCGTGATATTCAGAGGTGTTGAGAGTCAGCCCTACGAGGAGGATGCTCATGAGGTACTTCTGTCTGTCGTGGACCCTTTCCGCCAGCTGTGAAGTTGTCCCCGGAGGACTTGTCTTGGTCGACAAGAAGAATGGGATATGCTCGTGAGATCCTCCTGATCGTCTTCGTCCCTCCTCGCCATTCCTGGGGTTATCCCTGTAAGACAAAACCATGTCGACCAGAAGAACGAGGTTACTGCCTGAGCTAGTCAAGGGCAGTCGTTGTTAGCAGGTTATCCCACGTAGCACAGTCGGATTGGGCCTTGTATGATGTTTGGGCCAAGTGCAGGCCTCGTCCAGAACAGGAGCCCCCCAAGTTGTTGCTCCTGGTGAAGGAGTTATGACTTAAATTCAACTTCTTCTTATGGCGAGCATAATTTAACTGGGGATCCTTCCTCACGTTGAAGGAAAAAGTCGTCGGTACGTGTGGTCACTCGGGCAAGGGTTGGAATTGGCTTCACGGAGAAATAGTTAAGTCGTTCCTCGACTCGCGGGAAGGAGAAGGTTCGTAGAAGGTAGCCACGTGGCGTGATCTTTGGGATAGAAAAGATAGCCTAAGGAGTAGGGGCCATTATGATCTGAGTGCATAGGCAGCAAGGAGAAAGGCGGTTTGTGTATTGTCCGACGCGATGCTTCGTATTCCACGCCAGCCCTATAAATAGTGCCTCAAGGCAAATTTATCACGTTCTAATTCTCGCTCTCTCCTTTCTCTCTGTCGCGTTTAGTTCTACATCGTTTGCTATTTTCCTTCCACCGTTGACGCCATCGCATCCTCCGCGACGGACTTTCCACAGTCCCTGATCAAGTAAGTGTTTTCCAGTATCGATTGTTGTTTACGATTGACTTTTTGATGACTTTTTGATGAATTTCGCTATCGGGGGATTTTCACTCGAGGTGTTCATACATTTATTCGTAATATTTGCAAGTGGGCCCACAGAATTCATCTGCTCCTTGCAAAATACGTGAATTTTCCCGGGATATTCATCTGCTCCCCACAAAATTCGTGAATTTGCCCGGGATATTCACCTGCTCCACGGTGGATTCACGAATTTGTCCGACAAATTCATATATTCCCCGCGGCATTTATGGATATGTTTGTGAGATTTATCCCATGCCCGCGTTACTCATGAACATTCGTTTTGTCTTTTTCACAACCTTGCGGTCGTATGTTGGAGCGGTGTAGCGACAAGCAACAAAAGTTTTGGAAATATTTATCCAGGAATTTATCGTGTCCACAGAGATTGGTTATTGAATTGTCGTTCGACAAATCTATCGTTAATGAGTTTGGGGGTTGAATGGTTTTGTAAAGAAAATATTATTAACATAAAATGAATGTAAACAAAAGGAAAAACTAAGGAAGAACTTATCAGGTATTCATATATACTACTTCTCACTGACTTAAACTTATCGCTTGTTACACTCAACCTAACATTACTCATCAATGTGACTACGTATCACTCACAACCTAAGTCATTTTTAACCCAAATTGTGAGGCCGACTGCATCACCTCGGTAGCGATCTCTCAACCACCTCGACAATACAAAAGTCAGTCGTGCTCACCTGTATCAACGATCTCTCAAAGCGACACAAACAACGCACAAGATTTAAGCTCTGATACCCGAGTAGATTGTCAGCTCTATATCTATCTCTAGAGTTAAGAAATTAACATATTAATCATCATAGATAAGAACCTAAGCAGTATATGTCTATAACAACTCAAATCCCTAGCATAGAGCAAAAATCTAAGACAACAATCCACAAAGTTTCATAAAGCAAGTTTTATATAATGCCAAGGGCGATAAATATACATTAGATCAAAGAAAATATACATACAAACCCAACCAAGAAGATTACACAAAGAGGAATAGAAATGAACTACAGATCTACCGGTTTGTCAGCATCGATCGAAGGGCAATCCACCCTGGATCATCCGTATGCAAACTCCATAGTTGTTATCTAAGCTAATCATAACAAAATTTACAAGTTTATGGAGTTGAGAGAAAAAACTTCCCCAAAACCACAACCTAAAAATGACTGAAAATGAAGTTATAAAACAAATCTCAGTAGACCGCACTAAGCAGCCTCAGCGTGCTAAATGGGCTGCACGATATTTACACATTAAATCGACCTAAATCCAAAACAGTAAAACGTAAGAAGCACGCTATAAAATGAACTGAGCTCCACTCGCGCTTAGTGGCCTCCTGCGCGCTAAGCGGGCTCTCCGGGACAACAATTCCCAAAACTGATCTTTTATTCTGAAAACATGCATCCAGAGATGTGTCTTCGACACCTTATTCCTCAATGCTCCAAGATGCAACAAATACCTACAAAATGAATGGAAAAACATCAAATGGTACACTATGTACACAAAAACACAAACAAACATAAACTAAACGTATTTACACAAAAGTCAGGATTATTCAACAATATTACACACAAAAAGTCGATAAGTGCAACAAAAATTATATACAAAAATTATATACAAAAATAGCTATAATTTTCACTTATCATCGTACGAGGCGCATATTAGCACCCTGTATTGCTCGTGGGTCGTGTATGTTTCTCACTGCACGAGTGATCATCGACTTGGTACGGGCGTAACTATCCCCTTTCACCTGTGTCGTGGTGGAAGGGTGGATTTGATTTAGCTGTCGAATTCATTGGTTTCCTCTGCTTTACAGGTGAAATGGTCGAAACCCCCCGAGTCATTCGAGCACATCAACATAGAAGAGACAAGTGCAACCGATGAAGGTGTCCATTTGGTCGACACGATCTATGACCCGTCACTATCCTGGGTCGGGCCAGAGCCTCGAGGGATAGCTTCGATCTTCAATTATACTAGAAGGGAAGCATATATTGTTATCGAGTATGGCAGCGACCAAGAAGGTTTTTGTTGGAATATCACGATCTTGCAGCTGATGCCTACGACCTGGATATGCTCGAAATTCGAGGAGGACCGTTTTCCCATGTACAAGGTCGTCTTCAGAGATTTGGGGCTTCGTATTCCCTTTAGTTATTTTCAGATGGGTGTGTTTAATCACTTGAACTTGGCGCTCTCTCAACTACACCTCAACGCGATCGCCTTCACCCGAGCTTTTGAAATCACCTATCAGTTCTTGAGGATTAGGGCGACCATTCCCTTGTTCTTCAGGGTTTTCCACCTCCAACGGAAGTCTAGGGGCGGTAAACACAATTAGGGTTTCCTTCAAACAGCCGAAGAGGCTGTTTTGCAACACCCTCTAAAAACCCCGAACAAAATTTCGCAAATAATTAAAATCATAATTTCAGAGTACATGTATAATCGAGGATGCTACAATTCTCTTTAAATAACACAACAAATTCCTGTCATGCATAATCTTAGTAGTAACTCATACATGTTTACACAGCGGAATAATTTATTTAATAAAACCAATGTTATAATATTTTCAAAATCATCAGGGATTAACACCTGGAAAATGTAAACATCATATTATAACAAAACATAAGGAAATTAAACGAGTCTGTTTAAAGCAGCTCGACAAACAAACGTTCCCGGAGTTACAACTATCAGAGCATGACCCGGACAATACTAAAACGGAACTAAACTAGAACGACAAGCCTTTGCCAAGCACCTGAACGAAGCTCCTCAATCTGAAATATTCAACAGTAAGGGTGAGCATCTCAATTATACATTTGATTATACGTTCATAACAATCAATTCAGGAAATCATAAGCATCACCCAATAATTAGCATATTTCATAGTTTACAAAAACCTTTACAATTCATATACCCATAATATATTGCTTTTCATATTTGCAATTAACGTCAAACATCGTCAACCATTTAGCAACCATACGTGCATACAACAATCAAATACAACATTGGAAAAATCATCCATTCATGTTATATTCAAGGTAATGCAACACACCCATGCATGTGGTACCACTTTACCGCCCCATTAAATCTCGGGTCACGGATAACTCACCGTTCCATTATATCGCAGACACGGCTACCACCTCAACGTTCCATTAAATCGCGGACACGTATATTGGCCACCATGTTAATTCCACACAATGGGAATTAACAAATGCAACATGATATGTAAGTATGTAACACTCAGCATACTATG